GGGGGGGGGGGGTCAGAGGGGAGGTGTTCTGATAATTTTGCCATCAGTTTCTAATCTTTGTTTTGTTCACTTGTACTCATTTTGAGGATCCAGACCATACAGCATTCCAGGTGTTAGACCAGACCTGGGATTGTTTCTTCTAACACTGCAAGCATTTTGCATAGTTTTGTTCTTTTTCTAGGAAGGAATCCAATGAAAGTAGCACAGCTTAAATGTGCAAGATAGTATTTCTAGAAATGTGATGTAGTCCAGTCACACAGAAATTCTGGTACATAAAGCAAGGGGTTACGTGGAGCAGTTTTACTGCCTTGTACTTCATTAGAAAGAGCAGAGGGGAAAATGCACATCAGGTCAATAAGGAATTATTATCTTCAGAGCACCAATAATGAATTTTGAAGTAGACTACTGGACAGCTAGGTAGTTTGGACTGTGCTATCAGGCAAGAGCATAAAAACGAAATCCGTCTGTCTTGTACTGTTCCTCCAATACTGCAGAGTCATAAAGGTGTCAAAATATGCCAGAAGTGTAAGGCAGTAGCTGCTTATCCAGAGAATAATGGAGGATGTACGGGAGAAATTCTGAATTCCCTTCTACATTTCTTCTGTGACAGGGTGTCAATACCAAGATTTAACATTTGATTAAATATTTTGACCTTAGAAGTTGCAAATTCACAATATGAATAATTTTTTTCATCAAAATTGAAGGCAGGGCAGATGAGGAAAAAAATCCACCTCAGAAAATCCCAAAGCTAAGGTAACAATTTGGCTTTCCTTGGGTCCAGTTCAGATCCTTCATCTAAATTATGCCCAGTGGAAGCATATCTTTTCCACCTGTCAGATACTTTTTCTTTTTTGTGTACATTTTTTTATGTGTTTATTTTTAGAAGGTTTCTGGTGGAACTGACTATAGGCAGGCCAAACTGCAGTGTTTTTCAGAAAATGTGGTTCTTGTTTTCCACAGAGCTTCTTCAGACCCGTTGCCATAATCAGAAAGGAAGAAAAACTTAATCTGTTCTAGGTGGCAGTGTGATAGATTTCTTCTACAGATATTATGTATCCCACAGATTCCTGTTTACTTAGGATTTTTCTTTCTGAAGCATCATTTTGGAAGTGCCTGTTTTTTTGTCTTTTTTTTTTTTTTTTTTTTTTTTTTGCTGTCCCTGTATTATTGTATTAATGCAGTGGTGTTGCATTACATGAAACTGATTCAATGGCCTTGTATCACAAGGCAGAGGAATGACAGGGCATAAAGACTCCAGTACTCCAGTCCTTTATAACTGGGTGCAGCAACTGTCTGATGGTCAAGAAATATTGTATCCCCTGCCAAAAGCACGCACGTGTGAACTTTCTATTTCTGTTGACAAAGTTCATTAAAAATATCCCAGCATTTATTTTAGATAACCAAAATTCTTTGGCTACTGTAAGTCATAAATCCAAGGATCCTGGGGGCTGTTTGTTTCACAGTAACGTCTTTATGATTTTTGACTGTCTAAAGCAGTTTTTCTGTTCCGAGACAGCTTGAAATTAGGCTTATATACGTATTCCCCTCAGTTCAAGGTAGGAAACCACTTTGTGTCACATTAATGTGAATGAAGGAAATCTTTTTGACAAGTTGAAATGTTTACAGAAAACCTTGCTTTACTAGTCAAATCTCAAGAATGGCAACTTACCAAAGAAAAAGACAAAACAGTCTTCAATGGAGAATATTTTAATATCTTCTACTTCATAAATAGGACCTCAGTGGCATTTAAAAACCTCTTTAAGAAAGGGCTTAAAAACAACTGTTGTTTCACTTTATTAAGCATGTGTTCTCTTGAAAGTTACTTTGAGATTTAATTTAGAAGTCTATTTCATTTGCATGTTATTAAAAATATTATGATTATTCAATGTAGGGGAATGCAGAAGACCTTTTGGACAAGGTGAAGAAATTATTTGGTGAGCCCAGTAAGAAAAATGAGGATCTCAAAAATGAGGTCCAGGACAAGCTAGCAAGCTACCACACCAAAGTTGATGATGCTCGAGATCTGCTGAGAGAAGCTATGAGTAAAATTAGGGAGGCTGATCACTTATCTGCAGTCAACCAAAAAAATATGACCATGGTAGAGGTGAGTGCTGACAAGTTGTATCTTTGATTACTTGGAGTCTGATCAAAGCTTGAAACTTTGCATGATTAAATCTTGAAACAAAAGTATAAGCAAAACAAAAATATTGTTAAAATATAATGATATCTGATGTAATTAAAAGGAAACGTTCCTCAGAATAAGGAAATGCATTGGCTTTTAAAAATAGAATTACTCCACAGCTTTATCAAAATAATGTCATCTGCTTTTGAACACTGAGTGGAGGGTGGATTGGATTTATTATTCTGGGGGAGATTAAATTAATTCCAGTATAAATAGTCATGTAAAATTCAGATCCTGTGCTCAAGATTTAAATAGGAGTTCAGTTAAATCTTTGCTGTCATATATTTGCTCCTAGAAAACTTACACTTTCATCTCCCTCTCCAACCCCTGGGAAGAAGACTGAAGGGGGTATGTGGATATTACAGAGTAACAAATCAAACTCTTATCCTCTGTAGTTAGTAGCTGTTATAAATGATCTCCCTCATAGCAGAGGGGTCTGGTTGTGATTTAATTTAAATTGCAGAGACATAAAGAGCATATTATACTGTACATTAACAAGCATTTAACCAAGACATAAAGAGCAGAGTCAACGTAATGAAGATAAATGTTTCAACTCTGTTTGTGTCTCGATGAGCTTTTGCCTCATATACAAGGATGAGGTTAGAGTTCCGAGACCTAGGTTCTCAGCAGAGATTTGTGGGCTTGATTGAATTAAGGAAATGCAGTGCTGTAAAGAAGTTAGGTGATCTCTGTTCTGTGCATTTTCTTCCCAAAGGTGGATGGATAAAGGTTGGAGAAATTACCTGCTCAGTTTTTAAAATATTCTCTTCATCCCAGTATCAGAGTGCCTGAAGGCATCCTTTCCAACAGACCTGCCCACTTGGTTGTTCTGAGGGTTTTTTTTGCTTTGTTTTGGCCCTGTTTTGACCGAGAAACCATCACAGCACGCTTAACACTAGAAAGCCATGGTCTCCTATCACACTAATCTGTGATACTCAATGGATCTTGCACAGGAAATTGCCAGTTCATTATTCAGAAGTCCATCCTTACTACACAATATGCAATATTTTTACTGGCTAGAAAATCAAGAATCCTAAGGTTGCTCCAAACCATCATCTTTTATTTTACGTTCAAGTAGTTAGTGAAATGCCAGTGGATGTAAATAGGAAAGCAGCAGAATATTTTGATAAATTTTGCCTCCATAGCCCAAGAAGGTAATTGTCAAAATGAGAAACTTGCATGTCTGTGTTAAATTAGGATTTCCAACATCTTTCTAATTCATGTTGCAATAGTTACTACAGCCTGTTACCTCTGCTACAGAGCAATAAAAAATCTGTCATGTGGGAGGGGGAATACAAATCTGGGGACAGGAGGAGAAGGAAAAGATATCTTCTAATTATATGTGCTTCATTGTTGTCACTGTCTTTGCTCTGAAATCTCAGAGAATTCCAGAAGTGGCATTGTGGCATTGGTGACAAAATGCAGTCTCGTATTGGGATGCTGGTATTTGAACTGGCATCCCCATTCTAGTAAACAACTCATATTTTACTTCATGTGAACACATCTTATAGAAAAAGAAGCAAGCTGTGGAAGATGGCAGACAAGATGTTGAGAAGAGCCTGCAAGAAGGGAACGATTTCCTTAATGAAGCCAACAAACTTGCAGATGAAATCAGCTTAGCTGTAGTGGTGAGTGTTTTATCATCCTTATCTGAGAACTGGTACAACGAAGCATCAGTATGGAAGCAAACTAGGTAATTAAAGTAACACCTGATTTTTCTTTTCATTTATCAATGTTGGAATATTTGAACTGGAAGAAAAAATTTTTCCATTGCTGTATGGCAGAAAAGCTAATCTGCTGTATAAGAATGATTAATTTTGAGATTGAAATGATTCATTGGATTACATAAAGAGCTAGATCATAATTTTTCATGGACTTGGCCTTGTTTTATGAGTAGGTTTTTGTGGGTTTTGTGGTTATGGCACTGACTTTATCTTTAGAATTGCAGATGCAGGAGACCCATTCACAATCTTAGCGCAACTCTGATCTAGATGTAATTTATATGCACAAAAGCTGTGTGTGCATATCAGAAGAAAAATTCAGATATCATTTGTTGCCTGTGGCAACAATTTGAAGTCTAGATAGATCAGGGAGAGGATTGTACTCTCATTTTGCATAATATTTTTGAAAATTCTGCCTTAAAAATTTTATCAACAGAATTTGAGATCAGTGCCTTAGCTAAAAAAAAAAAAAGAAAACCAAAAAAACCCCAACAAAAATAACCCTAAACCCAACTTGTTTTATCATTAGTTCTGGAAATATTTCCATCTCGCATTGAAATTTGTTATAAAGAATGGAAAAATGCCTTTTGGAGAAATGGGAAGGGAAACACTTTGAGATGGTTCATTGGAACAGGACTGACAGGTCTTCAAAAAGTGTAGTTCTTATTAAGATACTTTAACAATCAAAAATACATTGGATTCACTCAAAGGGTCCTGAAACATGAAACTTCTGTCATTGGTTAGTTACTGTTGTGGAGCATGGTGACAATTTAGTATAACTATGTATGCATCTACATTTAGGAAAGAAATCCTACTTAGAGTTTATGGGCTTTTAAACTGTGCAGTTCCTTAATTGTAAAATAAAAACTTCTACTAAGCTAAAGAGAGGTAAGTAGTGCTTGGAATATTGTTTTGTCTTCACTCTGCACTCCAGTCCAGCCATTCCTTTATTCTTTCCATATTAGTTCCCTGAAGTCTTAATGCATGGGTAAGTTACAATGCCTTAGAAAAAATATACGAGCAACTGACGTCATCTACCTGGACTTGTGCAAAGCTTTTGACACTGTCCCACACGACATCCTTGTCTCTAAATTGGAGAAACATGGATTTGACACTGAAAGACTTGTGGTCAATGGCTCTATGTCCATGTGGAAACCAGTGACAAGTGATGTTCCTCAGGGTTCCGAACTGGGACCTGTGCCGTTTAACATCTTCGTGGGTGACATGGACAGTGGGATTGAGTGCACCCTCAGAAAGTTTGATGACAACACCAAGCTGTGTGGTGCGGTTGACACTCTGGAGGGCAAGGATGCCATCCAGAGGGAACTGGACAAGCTGAAGAAGTGGACCTGTATGAACCTCCTGAAGTTCAACACAGCCAAGTGCAAGGTGCTGCACATGGGTCGGGGCAATCCCAAGCACAAATACGGGCTGGCCAGAGAATGGATTGAGAGCAGCCCTGAGGAGGAGGACTTGGGGGTGTTGGTTGATGAGAAGCTCAACATGACTCGGCAGTATGTGCTCAGACCCCAGAAGGCCAACCGTATCCTGGGCTGCATCAAAAGCAGCGTGGCCAGCAGGGCGAGGGAGGTGATTCTGGCCTTCTGCTCCACTCTGGTTAGACCTCACCTGGAGTCCTGCGTCCAGCTCTGGAGCCCTCAGCACAGACATGGATGTGTTGGAGCAGGTCCAGAGGAGGGCTACAAAAACCATCAGAGGGATGGAACACCTCTCCCCAGAGGAAAGGCTGAGACAGTTGATGCTGTTCAGCATGGAGAAGAGAAGGCTCCCAGGAGACCTTATTGTGGCCTTCCAGTGCCTGAAAGGGGTCTGCAAGAAAGCTGGAGAGGGACTTTTTAGCAGGGCATGTGATGATAGGACAAGGGGTAATGGCTTCAAACTGAAAGAGGGTAGATTTAGACTGGATATAAGGAAGAAATTTTTTACAGTGAGGGTGGTGAAACAGTGGAATTGGTTGCCCAGAGAAGCTGTGGCTGCCCCGTCCCTGGAAGTGTTCAAGGCCAGGTTGGATGGGGCTTTGAGCAACCTGGTCTAGTGGAAGGTGTCCCTGCCCCTGGCAGGGGGGGTTAGAACCAGATCACCTTTAAAGGTCACTTCCAGCCCAAACCATTCTATGATTCTATTATATGTGTGTGTGTGTGTATATATATATATATATACACACAAAGGGCTACAGAGTGCTTGCATTCAGCCACTTAAAGGTGTTTCTTTTGTCATTTTCAGTATGTAGAAGGTGTTGCAGATAAGATGCAGCCAATGTCTGATCAGCTGAAGGATAAAATAGATGACTTATCACAAGAAATTCATGACAGGAGGCTTCCAGAAAAGGTGTTGCAAGCTGAAAACCATGCAGCCCAGCTGAATGAATCATCTGCAATACTGGATGGGTAAGGCAGCCATTCATTGGTAACGATAAAATCATGAAGCAGGTTTGTAAAATTGCTTGACAGAAATTGAAGAGCATTCTTCTTAGACTTTGACATCTGTCACTGGAGGGTATATAAATAACCAGTGTTCTATATGAGCATACATCTATCCTGTTGGTTAATTTGTGTGTGTATCTCTTGTAAACCATTTCATACATATTGTGATGCTTATAGGTTGCATTAACTGTGAGCAGTGCCCTCAGATGCACTCATAACACAGTTTAAATTACCATATGCTTAGTGCTATGTTTATGTGAAAAAATTAAATGCTGTCTTTTCATAAACATTTGTTAAAAAAACAAGCAGTATTTTTATTTTTAAGATGACCTTTTTGATAGCACACACTTATCATGATGCTAATTTGTTTACTGTCAGAAATACCCCATAGTGATGGACAGTAATCCCTCTAGTGGTTTCAAAATGCCCTCCCAAAAGGAGTAGGTGTCATGGGCTAAAATACTTAAACCTAAGTACAGAAACTTCAGTTTCTGTTTACCACTATCACATTCCTAAATATAAATGAGAATTGCAATGCCCTTGCTTGATATGACCACAGCCTTTTCAGAAGAATGATGCTTTGTAACTCATCATGAATGTAGATTCCTGGAAAGAAAAAAAGGTAAAGGATTTTTTGGTTTTTTATTTTGGGTTTTTTGGGGCTTTGGGGGGAAGAGGGGGGTGTGTCTTTCATTATATTGCAGTTTTTGCATTTAAGAAAGCAAGCCATAAAAACGAAGTGTAATTTGCAACAGTAATACTCAGAAATAGATCATTGATATTCTGCTTCTTGGACCTGTCCCCAGCATAGCTTCAGAGTTTTATTTTCTCAAAAGCACTGTATGAATAAAACAGAGATAATATTTTTTTTTAACATCAACTATATGCTCCTTTTTTTTACTACTGATGTCTTTTAGATCCACCTGAAGACTTTAATATCCCAAAGACTTGTGAGCAGACACCTAACATGTTTTTTCGTACCAGTATCTGTAATTCTGAGGAAAAGGCACAGAATTATCTCTGATGAAGTGTCTGATACTTGTAAAATTACTGGCTTCATATACAGAGTAGTCACACCACTCTGGATATTCAGTATAATTTATGTTTTGAGGAGTACATAAAATAATGACAGCTGTGGTTTCCTGAGTAAAAACGATTTGAAGGGCACTATTTCTAGCAAAACGTGCCTTCTGTAAATGATATGTGCACTGTCTGATAGGACATGTCATTTTTGTGGTGCACCTCCGGGCCTAAAGTAGGTGACTAATGTCACATCCAACCACAGTACTGAATTTGTATATAAATATCCAAATAGATGGACAATTGGCATGGAGGAAGTAAGCAGCAGAGAAAATGTAGACAGAGAAAGAATATTTCGCCTCCTTAATGAAATGTTGGCAAGACATTTTGAGATAGAGCTTTTTAACTATGCTAAACAGGCTTTTTTATGGGTGCATGTATGTGCTTCTGTCTTAACGTAGGTTGACAGCTTGGCCTTGGGGAGCTTAGGGTAGTGTTTAAAGAATCACAGAATCACAGAATAGTAGGGGTTGGAAGGGACCTCTGTGGGTCATCTAGTCCAACCCCCCTGCCGAAGCAGGGTCACCTACAGCAGGCCGCACAGGACCCCGTCCAGGCGGGTCTTGAATATCTCCAGAGAAGGAGACTCCACAATCTCCCTGGGCAGCCTGTTCCAGTGCTCCGTCACCCTCAGAGGGAAGAAGTTCCTCCTCATGTTCAGACGGAACTTCCTGTGCCTCAGTTTGTTCCCATTGCCCCTTGTCCTGTCACTGGGCACCACTGAAAAGAGCTTGTCCCCATCCTCCTGACACCCACCCTTCAGATATTTGTAGGCATTCAGTGTTGTATAGCAGTGCCACGTATTATTCTATCTGATCCAGACATCAACCTCAGTTTCTCAAGATATGCTACAAAAAATGCAGAATCAAGGACATTGAAAATTATATCTAAAAGCGAACTGTTCAAAATTAAAATTTCTAATGTGGTCAAATACACAGTTTCAAAGGAGAAAGAAATATCAAAGTGCTATGTAATGCTGCATCAGGATAAAGCTGTTTACTTCATGCAGTGACATTAAACAGTCATAGTTTACGGGAATATGCAGTTTCTATCTGTCTTAGAAATTCAAAAAGTTATCTAACTTCACAGCTGGCACTTGGGTGTCTTTCAGTTAATACTAAATGTACTGAAAAGTACTATTTCGTCTTACAGGAGAAATTGAGGGAGAGTCCTTTCTCTCCAATCACCCCCTAGGGCTTCAAATAGTATACTGACTGATGGTCAGGATGTTCTCTTGAGAGTTAGAACATGGAACAGTTAATGAATTTAACCTAGAAAAAATTGTTATTTTTCCTGTATACAAGGAAGTATTATAATAGGCCTTATATATCCCTTGTGGGTCATTGCTGATGAGTAAATATTGTTGGTATTTGGAGAATTCAGTTCAGTTCCCTCCTAACCAGAAGGGATTTGAACTGTATTTCTAACCAATACTTGAGATACTAGCTAGATAGCTATTCTGGGCTGCGCATTTCTCTAACAGAGCATCACAAAAACTTACTAAAGTCTGGTGAGCTCCATCTGTAGTTGAGGAAAGAGTTGTGCTTTTCCAGGAGTGATGCAGAGGCAGCTCGGTTATGCTGTTCCTGCAGTAGCCTGCAGGGAATCTCTCTCTCCCTCAGTTAACTACATGTGGAGTCCAGGGAGTATACCTTACGTCCCTTTTGTCTTTCCTGTTGCATTTTGTAGAAATTATTAAATACTCATTGAAGTGAGGACTGGGGCCCAGCTGTCCCCAGAGAATAGGTTAATTATTAGCTTAGAGAATTAATTTCTCTTTCTTCCACACACACCGTCTCAATGACGTGTTTTATACAAGCTTGAATAGGTCCAGCAGGCGTAATCCCTGCCTCCCTTATATTGCCATATACCTTGATGGCTAGAACATCTCCCAGAGAGGCAAAAATCCAAGTTCAAATCCGTTCTTGTCCAGTTCAAGCAGGGATTTTAGCCCATTTACCCTTTATTCAGGAAAAGCATCATAGGCATCAGGCATAATGTACTCTGAGATAGATGTCTTCAGGTTAATTCTGTAGGTGCAGTAATTCTTTGTAGAAAAGCCTGCTGGCTAGAAATTCCCCTGAAAGGGGGTTAGCTGAGCTCCAGTCCCTGCACCAGGAAATATTATTCATTTATAATTACCTTTTAATCTAATTATAGTTATTAGAATGGAGTATTTCATGTAAATGGAACACCCCATTCAATATGAAGCATTATTGGTTATGTTTTTCATTTTGGTCAGCAAAATTAAAGTTTAGGGTTTGGTTCAGTGAGGTCTCCTTGAAACCTGATGTTTCTGTGTTTGGCAGTCAGAAAAGAAATTAGTTATTCATAGATTTTACTTCAAAACATGCTTGTGATGATCCCCCTGTGTTCATACAGTGCAAAATTCATTGAGCTGCTTGGCTCAACACACAACCTATAAACCCACATTATGAATATATGTTATCTGGATTATAGTGTTAAGCACTACACTATCTTTTCCCAGTGTCTCAGCCATTTTTATCTCACAGAACCTCCTCTTTAAGTGAACATTTTTTTTATGTCTTTCTCCACAGACAAAATATGGATTCCGTTAAACACATGATGCCAGAACTCTTGAAATCTCAAGTGTAGCATTGCTCTCTAAAAAAAATGCCTTAGAAATAGCCTTAGAAATACAGGCTGTTGGGTTTGAAAAAGTGGATACTATGTTCTGTTGAGCTCTGATAGCAGGTTTAATAGTGTGTTTACTTTTCCCTTCCCAACAGAATCCTTGCTGAAGCCAAAAACCTCTCTTTCAATGCCACACTTGCTTTCAATGCTTATACTAACATCAAGGATTACACAGATGAAGCTGAAAAAGTTGCCAGGGAAGCCAAGGCTCTTGCAAATGAAGCTATGCAAGCGGTAAGAAAAATAACTAAATTGGGACGAAGGCTTAGATTTCCTGTGGAACTGTGCTGCACCTTATCTTGTATCCGTGTTTTGCCATCTTACGACTTTATTTAGAGGCTCCTACCATCATAGATTCTTGTGTTGAGATCAGAAAGCTGTGCCGCTGTCAGACCTACATGTACCTTCAGACTACATCCCAATTTGTTCCCAACTCTTCTTCCTTATTTTCCTTTCCCTTTTTGTTTAATATTCTTCCTCCCTCTGTCTTCCACCTCTCAGTTTCTGTCTATGGCTCAAGCCAACAGCTGCTGCAGGAAAGATTTGAGTCAAGAGTGTAGGTCATTTGATACTCAATAAGGCTAGTTTATATTTAACGAATGTTTTGCACACATCTGAAGAACTCTGTACTGTAGTTAACTCTTCACCCTCTAGTTCCACAAAAATGCCCAGAGGCACTTCTCTGCAGGTCAGATGAACTGTGTGCACCTAGCAGAATTCTACAAGTGGAGAATTGTAGGGGAGCAGAAAGTTTTGTTCATAGAAACCATATAGCTTCTTTTGTGAACTCTGCCGTTTTTCTTAGAGAAATCTTATTCTCTCTATGAGGTACTGCATGCAAATTTCTGAAGGAAACAGAGAGAACTTCTCAAAATAGGATTGTAAGGTAAAGCCAGGTCTCCAGCCTGAGTCATAACGAGGAACTCGGCTCCTTAATGCATATACTGTGAGCAGAAGCATTCTGAGCATAGCCAGAATTATTTTTTATGTCAAATATCAAAGGAGTTAATGGCTAATTTGTGGAAGTCGGTCAGAGAGCAGCTGATGTGCACTTCACAGGCACACAGAAAAATGAGGAAATGACAGCATAATATGAAATTGCCAGACTCTATACTTACTACAGAAACATACAGATGAACAGAAGCAACTTGTAGCTACAGCACTTGTACATGAATAAAGGTAGCTTGCAGAGAGCTACTGCAGTCAAATGGATTCTGAGAACAGCAAAAGCAATCACATGCTGTAAAGGTCTGTATTTAGAAGTGGGATAAAGTGATCTAGTCACAGCCCAAAAAATTTAGTATTTTTAGGCTGTTTAGATTGTCAACTTCTATATTTCAAATAAGACTAATCACTGTACATCTCTCGTGATGAAAAAGTTTCACCTCACATATTAGTATGCGCTAGTTCTCTGTAAATAGTTATTTGTTTCACCAGAACTCCTAATTACACTGCAGAAGTAAATAAGGAGCTGTGGAATTTTTTTTTCTTCTCATTAGGATTTAATACAGATAGCTATCTTTTGCTCCTTTGATGACTCACAGCAAGTGAGGCAGGCAGCTGTTTCAAGGTTTCAATAGGGGAAAAAAAAGACACAGCAGTCAAGAAACAAAGCAAGCAATTACAGTATGGCTACAAAAGTGTATATATCAGACAGTGAACTGGCTGATTATACTGTGGAGAGAAAGTGGATAGATAGTTTGAAAGGGATGAAGGTGAAGATGGACAACTTGATGTAATTAGAGGCAAGTCAGTAGCAGCGAAAGACACTAAGGTGTTATTAAGGTGAGGTTTTAAGCATCTCCATTGCATGTATTCGTTAGAGAGAGCTTGTTTTTGTTATGACCTTTATATGTATAACAGGGATCTAGTTCATAAAGCAGAAAATGGAGGGAGCTGCTACCTTTTAAATGTAATTGACTTGATACAGAGTAGGCATAATCAGTGGTTTACCATCCAATTGCTGCAGAGCATGGTAGAGTTTAACCATTATTTGGTGAATGATCATGTGAGGATTTCAGGCCAGATTTAAGAAATATGGTAATGGTGAAGTTCAGTCATCATTTCGCTATTCTGTTTCTTTTGGTTTCATGCAAAGAATGTTGACTGCTCATCCTAAGTGATGTCAGTGATTTACCTGGTTAGTAACCAGGTAAATCAGACTCCCTCTTTCTGCAGGCCCCAAGGAACTTACTTGTAGCTGAGCTTCAGCATGAGAGCATGACCGCACCCTCACTCAGGGCTGTCTAGAGCACCGTGGTTCAAGCACTCTCGCAGAAGGCAGAATATGCGGATCTGAGCCCCCTCAGACTGAGCAGCCCCTAGAAACTGTGTCCCCTCCTTCCTGAGAAGGTGCTCCTTGGGACCCTGTGTAGAAGAAAGAGATCATGTCTTTCCTCTCCTTTTGAAAGGTGGAGCCAGGTTCTCTGGTTTAGGAGAGCAGCTGTGGGTGCCTGTCTTCTGTAAACTACTCTGATCTCCAGATGCTAGAAGATAATGTAGAAAAGCCTTTCCCATTGACCAGTTGTAATTTTGGGGCAGGGGGAGGTAGGTTTCCCAACAGCAGCAAGCTGGTGCATGAACTAGAGATGGTAGGGACAGGACGGAGTTTTAGATTCCACCCTGTATGTCACTGGAACGAATAATTTACAAGAACCTTAGTGATATCTCAGGGGGTTTTTATTTGTAATGGGAAAATTACTGTGTTTTCAAATGAAGCTAATGTTGCTAAAAGCAAGAACAAAAAGATGCTTGAAATCAATCATGATTACAGGAAGCCTGATAAATGACTGGCAAAAATGTATTAAAAATATGACAAAAAAATTCCTCCGGAGTTTTTTTTTGATGGATTTTCTCTCCACTTTAAAAGCAAAATAAATTTATCACAGATGAGAATTCTCTAGCATTCAGGCAGCTTCAACGTCCCATTATTTGGCCAAGGCAGTAACTGACTGAAGAGAGACGTGATGTTAACAGATCCAGGTTGTGTCTCACAGATCAGAATCACAGCAGTTTTACAATACGTCTTGAAAAAGTGTGATTATTCTTAGGCTTTTTTGTGACAGCTTATGGGCTAGTAACTGGAACCACAGGGGACATGCTAAATATTTAGGGTCCTAATTCCTCCTTTCCTTTTGACTTTCTTTGTAGTGGTACCCCAACAGTTATGTTGGATATCTAGGTTTCCTTACGTGGTAAAGGCATAAAGCTGCCTAGCCATCCTCCTCGTGGGGATGTCCTGAGGTACAAATCATGCATAACATTTTGGTACTTCAGAATGCTCAGCGATCTTCAGGACTGGTAGAAATGAGAGTAGCCCTAACTCTTGCATAGGTAAAAACTTCCCAGAATATAAGCATATGTGAAAAGAGAAGAATTTAATTTAAGAATAAGGCAGAACTATTTTTAACTGATGTGAATTAGCACTTGGGTCTATAAAGTGCCTTGTACTTGTGTAAGTTCAAGTATGTGATCCTCAAAACTGTCCCAGTGCATTTACATCTGTGCTTGGAGCTGTACTTTCAGCGTGAGACCAAAATCACCAACATGTCAGTTGATCTGGGCAACAGAGTGCCTACTTCATGTTCACATCCATCCATGAAACCTCAGAAAACATTCCTTTCTGCAAAGTCCCCAGCAATTCTCAGTCTGATATGTGTTCAGACCATGCCCAGAACGCACTGTCGGGGGAGTCTTCACAGAATGCTGTGACTATGACTGACCTTATTCAAACTTGCAGTGTGTAGCACATTTCCCTATTAATGTGATAAGTCAGTGATTCATGCAATCATCCCTGGGAGATCTGGAGGAATCACCTGCATCCCAGAAGAGTGCCATAACCCACCAGACTATGGGCTAAACGGAAATCTTTCTGCCACTCCTGCAGAAGCTGGGCTGTTTGACTAAAACAGAGTTCAAGATTCATTGAAATACCAGAAAAAGGAAGACAGAGAGGATAGTCTTCCTAAATTCTTTCCTTACGATTCTTCTGTAATTTAATAGATGTTTTTCTTTTGATGTTAAACTTGGTTAAAGTTTTTGCTAACTCATGGACAGGAAAAAAAACAACCTGTTGAGGATGATGTATCGTTTCAGTGGCAGCATTTTGTATTATATTATCATAACAGGACTTATGCCTCTAAACCATGATTGAGATTGCGTTATTTGGACATCTAATGAGATCCCACTTCTGCCACAAGGTGCTACGAGCAGTCAAGCTGCACAGAGTTTGCATGGGAAGGGTAGGGGGCATGAAGGAAGGCACACGGTAAGGAAGGTACTACCCCCAAGTTATGGACGCTCTGGAAGAGACAGAATTAGAACAAATTAGATTTCTGAGACCCTGTGATTTTCCAATTTATCTTGAATCACATTAATTTTTTACTTTTTTTTTGTTTTTTACAGCAGGTGTTCAAATTTACAAAATTATATCAAAAACCCTTGTCTATCAGTCTTATTAAATCATAAAGGGGTTCATCATGACGCAGGCTTGCTACAAGCACATAAACTCACCTCACACAAAATCAGAAAATGTTTGTTTTTTTCATTATTGACTTCATCATAACTCGATGTCCCGTCAACCACAAGAAAAGCTAGCAAAAACCTTGTTTTGCATCAGATGTCTTGATTATTCCTTTGTCCTGGGTCTGGCCAGGACAGGGTTAATTTCCACCGGAATCCAGGAAGGGGCACAGCCGGGTGGGCTGACCCAACCCCAACCTGGCCAAACAGAC